TTTTTTTTTTTTTTTTTTTTTTTTTTTTTTCTTCCATTATTGGGGCCTAACAGATTAGCGGGGAACCGGTTGGGTACGTTTCCTCTTTTGTGGTTTAAAAGGGTTCCCAGAAATTTTTTGGAGGATTGTGGGGGGGGGTGGGCCATTCAGCCGGCTTGGGACCCATTTACCGTGCTTACATTACAAGCAGTGTTGGTTGGGCCTGGGGAAAAGGGGTTTTTGGGGTGGGTTTGGGTTTGGGCCCCCCCCCCCCAAACCTCATCCTTTCCGCCGCAGGGTATTGCATGTATTGTATGTACGGTAGGTACTTACCGACGGTATCTAGGTACTAGGACATTGTACTAGTCCTCGAACCTCGACAAACCCCCCCCCCCTGGTGATTGTTACCGGCTGGCTCTGTAGTAGCGTGCGCCTGCCCCTCACGCCCCCTTGTCGCCTCTATGGAATGAACGCTGCTTGCCTAGCATACCACATGTACGTGTGTGTGTGTGTGTGTGTGCGTGTGTATCAAGACTCGTGCTAATTCATCGTGCTGGACAGGCTGTTTAGGTAGCTGCTGTGCATCCGGGCAACTATACCGTCGTTGCCCCGCATCTTTTGGCCTCATCATTCGACTCGGGCGCTGGGGCCTTGTCTGTCAACCAAGGGCGATGGCCAATTCCAACCTTCAGCGCACACGAATGACTGTTACTATTGTATACCAAGCATGCGTGGGTCGTAGCCTTACGTACTATACAGTATAGTCATGGCTATGGACCGTTGCTAGGCCCTCGCTCGACCTGCGTTGGTGGAGCATACCGTTTGAACATCCCTCTCCACCCTGACTTGGCTTTCACCCGCAAGATGGCGACGAGCTTGAACGGGAAGGAAGCGAGCACAGCCTTCATCTTCATGACGGCCTCTATCGCTACCTCCATGTACACGAGCTGCCAATGCTGGTACCGGTGGCGTACCGGCAACCATTCTCGGCAGCCATAATTAGTGCTAATAAGCATCAGAGCCATCTAGCTTTCACGTAGCTTCTTTCATATATACAGGGTCTATCCGGAAGCAAACACTGCGTCTGCAATGGCCCTCGTGCGGACAAACACCACGTGGGTATGCCTCTGCAGCAGACGATTTATTGACGGATGCAAGTATGCAATGCTTGCTCGTCACCTGCAACAGCGGTTCGGCGCAGATCGGCCTGCTCTAGGGATTGCCACTGACCGGATGATACACAGTATGGTATTACATGGTAGTGAAGATCGTGGGCACCCTTACGAGACAATGGGGGCGTTTCATGCTGACAGTCTGATCTGAACGGTCACGATAACAGTGACGCGAACCAACAGTCATCTGTGAACATGTCTACAGGACACCCCCACCGTATGTAGTGGTATTGCAGATAGTCTGCATGGCGAATCTCACTTGGCGTCTGGTGTTACAAGAGCGACAGTCTTCCCAACGAGTACCAGCACCAGTGTCAGTGGAAGATGCTCGGCAATAATGCCAAGCCGCGTGTGTATGATACTTAACTAATAGCAGGGAATGTCTGCGCGAGTAGTCTTTGCACAGAGTCAGGATCATTCGATAGGTGCCACAATAGGCTACCGCATTGCCATTCCTGATGCACGATCCATTGGTCTTGCATCGACTTGGAAAAACAAACTTTCGCTTAAACCAGGTTTTCCGCAAACAGCGCCCATGGCCTTGATCCTCCCTACCATTTCGAGTGGAAACTGCATCCTCTCCCCTAGAGTTCGCATGCGACAAAAGGTGCATGTGTGCCGTGCAGCGACTGGCGACTGATAAGCTACCAGACCGGCTAGGCCACAGAATAGGACCAGATGGGTTTGCATTGTGCCTCATATGGCCGCTTGAAACACCAAATTACTTGCATCACACAGGAAGTCTATCTCGTCACATTAGATTCCATCATCGCCAATCTGAAATTCGGAGACTTTTACGGCCAGATTCTGCCATAATCATAATACGGCTTTTCGGCACGCTAATCTGATCATCAGGGAGATTTTGACCCTCTCCCGCATGCCGATCTTACGGGAATTGTGTGAACACGGATATTGTACATCAAATTCGTCAAGCGAGAGTACCGGCCTGACAGAGTTAGGTGGGATAAGAGATTCACTTCGGCCCAAGTTGCTCGCGTTGCTGCGGTCAGGCCCAACCATTGTCAAAGCACACGGATACGAACATTTCCGGTCTTCCTGTCTCCATGGACGCGCTGATGGTCGTGGCAGTACATACGAACATGGCTCCAAGAGAACTGGAATCACTTCTTTCAACTTTGTCGGGCGATAAGTCGGCCTCATGACATGGCACAATCTTACCGTTGGGTACGGGTATCCACAACCGTCATTTACTGCAGCCATGGGTAGGTAAGCTGAGCTATGCTATGCACATGGGATCACGACTCCCATTTCGGCTTTCTCTACACAGTATGTTGAAGTAATCGTATGATATTGTTTCATCCCTCAACGCTGTCAAGGATACTATCAAGAATCGAAAGATTCGCTCTATTATGGGGCCAAATGCGCAAGAGGTATACACTGGTGCCCCGCTCAATCAGGGCATTCCCTGACTATCCCCGCAGACAAGCATGAGGAACAAGTGGTCAGAGCCCGTCGCCTCGCCAGCGGCCCGAATCCAGCCGTTGCTCATCATCTAACATGACATCGAGACCATGACCTTTCGGGTGGTGCAAATGGATCTTCATGAGCGCTGAGAGCGATTCGTAACTCGCGTAGACTTAAGCATCGGAAATAGGTTTGGTGCGTTTACTGCAAGTCAAGCCCAACAGGATTTGACTGGCAGGTTGGCGGACAGATCAGCACAGAACAAGTAGAGGGCCCGCAAAAAGGCTCACTGATGACTGTAAAGCTTCGCATAGAAGAACACAAGCTTTTTTGAAACGGTTTGGCTGTTTGCCATGGATTTGAATTGCTGAGTGTTACACAAATTTGCTATGGAAACTTTCATCTATGGATTTGACTTTGGGCTGTATCGGTACCAACAGCCACAAGCATGCGCACACATCACCATGCCGACGGTCGACCTATCCAAGGTTACCCAGCGCTCGCCACCATCTACTAAATATCTCATCATTCGACCCTGAACACTGTTTCGGCGTGCTAGAGCGATTTGTCGAGCAGTTTAGTGTTTGTGAATAGGATACCTCCCTGTGTGCAACGTCGACACCTGGTTTCCAACCCAAAATTGCCACCATGACTCTCACGATATCTTCATTCGGAGCATCGCAGCTCCAGAAACTGAAAAGGCTTTTGGCGTCGTAATTGGTTCGGTGATGTGCTCCTTGCTTGCCTTCTCCGCTTCACCTTCGTCGCTCAACCGGCATTTATCAGATGGGTAGGTATGGTCCCTAGACCGCAGGTATAGCGAGTTCACGATTCAAACCAATAGACGACTATGACTGACCGAATCTTCAGTCGTCTTTTCACAGCCAGTATCACCCCATTTCTCCTGTGGTCTAGTACAACACAGACGCCTCAGGTAGCTCGGAATTCAACTCTATCTCCGATGTTAGTCCTCTGGAGGAGACTTGCATTCGCCACGTCAATTCCGATATAAGGTTTCAGCTCTGTTTCTAGTGGGAACAGCTCATCATAACCTTGAACCCTGTACTGCGTTCACAAACCAACGATATCCCCGCAACAAGACTGGCTTTGACCCTTTGGATGTCAATGCGACGACACGATTTACGATGGAGATCCTATCTTTAGCGATACTACTGTACCCGCATCTTGATTCGCTTCGTGCTAAAGTACCACATTCGGATTTGCAGAATCAACAGCGGACTGGAGAATGGGAGAATACGCTCAGTTGCGCATGAAGGCAGATGCCTTGCCAGTCGTTTTGTTCTTGCTGCTGGCCTCCTGGCGCCTATAGTCTGGCGAGCTCACGTCCGCGTACTGGTATGTATACATTCGCCGCAACGTAGTGTGTGATGAGTTTTTACAACCCAATCTATCCACTAAGTAAGCCTAGTACCAGCTTTTAAAGGAATGTATGCATCTTCCGTTGGTTTTCCATGTGAAATCACACTCCCCGTCACAACTCGAGACATCTTGATAGCGACGTCACATTTCTGCCCTTCACCAGCTCTTAAACTTGCGTGATGATGAAAAAAAAATTAACTCCCAGACGCTCACTAGTACGGCCTTATCTTCCGCATCTCTTCAGCCGATTTCCCATACTCTGCACAGTGAGCTATAAAAATTTCAAGCAGTTCCTTGTTCCGCTCCTGCTTCTCCTCAAAGTCCTCATCAGGGGCAATCCAGCCGTCGGCATCGGTTCCCGGATATTCCCGGGCGAGCTCATAGATCCTGTGGTGGTCTTGATAGTCCTGAAATGCCTGCTCATACTTTTTAATCTCCTGTTTGCTAAACCTACACGCACAGTCGCCGGAAAATCCAGCTTCGTTGCATACGTCGGCTATTGCAATTAGGCAAGCACGAAGAGGTGCAATTCCCTCTTCCCACGCTTCGCCGCAACGCAGGAAGAGTTGGCGGAAAAGCAGGGGAAGACGTAGAGATTTGAAGACATTTTTGTTCTTGAAACCGCTGGCTGCTTCGTACGCCTTGCCCATCATTGTTTGCTCATGTTTGAACCCAACAATCGCTTGATCATCGTCGTCTATTTCCTCCATTTCCTCCCGAAGCGCTGCTATCTCAAACCCAAGCCCGTAGTCATCGCCCAGGCTTATAAATTCGGGGAAACGAACCTGGTAAAACAAAGGCGAGACGACGATGGCTTGCCAATCAATCAGTGAGACAATCTGGGCAGGGTCTTTGTTGGAAACGTGGATGTTTCCCAAGTGTGGGTCGGTGTGTCACAGGGTTGGCCACGGTAAGCGTCCGGGAAGAGTCTTGTTGTTCATTTTAGAAAAGACTTCTTTGGCTAGTTTTAGGATGGCAAGCTGCTGCTCGGGAGAGCCTCTTGGTGGCCCGTAGGGCACAGATTTGGGATTTTGTTGAATACGTGTAATTTCACGTTTAGCAAGCGCAACGCACGCCAAAAGCAGGTAGACTAGGCCCTGATAAGATATCAGTGTTAGTTGGGAAAAGGAATTAGCCCAGTATTACTCACATGGCCCTCGGTCAAAGCGTGACTGTACAGATTCAGCTTCCTCTTTGCCAAACCATGGCCGCTCGCAAGACGGCCCAATACAAAAATGGCCAAAAGGGTCCATCTTGGGGGCTAGAGGTATATACCTGTCACCAACCCCCATTGACTCACAGAGGTAAAGACTTCCGTTTGCTGGAAAAGCAATAGCCGCAAGGTCAGCTTCAATAGAGCATAGATTTTTGATAAATTCAAAATGACTCAAATCATCCATCTCTCCCCATTTCTTAGCTAGTTGACAACCGGCAGCCTTGTCCATTGTGATGTATTCGGCACCAACTGGGTTAGAAGAGTCGGCATTCCATGCCAGGACTTTGGGGACTGGGACTGTGGTTTAATGATGCACTATTGGCGTATTCATCAGTCACCAGCTTTGCCTGCTGGAAACAATGGAAAGCGTACGGTATTGCAGAACAGCGGCTTCTGATGCTGTTAGGTACTTTTGGGGCCCAGCGATAGAGAACGGGAGTTTAACAACGGCTTGTGCTCCCTCTTCTTTGCTCATTAATAATGCCTTGCTAAACCCACCTTCCATTTTCTCAATTGTGCGGATAGGGGATTGGCTACTGCCGGCAGACGCAGCTACAGCGCAGAGCTGATCCACGTCAAATTTCAGTTATCTCTGGTCGCATAAACCCTTCTCCCTGGCTAAGAAGCGTCCATTCGTATATTTGTAGAGCTCGTCGCGACTAATTCTCTCGCCTAGAGAGAGCTTGATGAATGAGTCTGATAGGTGGCAAGTGCTACTTACCCCGGCACAGTATTGAAAGAGATCTACAGGAGCTCGAGGATATCGCCTGCTTGACCCTCCAGAATTTCATGCTGACGGATGGAATAGAAATTGAGAATGGCATGCTGTGTGTATGCATTTTTTGTTCGAGACTGATTTGCTTAGACTTATCGAGAAGAACCACACGCGTTCCCAATTTCAGAGAATCACAGGCGCTCGTCCAAACGAGTCACTGGAATGCCATTTGCGTATAAGAGGGGTGATGGACATACCCGATGCTATGTGGCCAAGGGAGAGCTGGGCTTTGTTCCATAGGCACTGGGTGATGTACCGGTAAGCAAGACACTTGGACCCTAACAAGAGGGCTGGCCGAGCCGCAGCCACGTATGTACTGTGTAGGCGTTGACGCTGCTGGGCGCTTATTTGTACAAGTTCTTTCGTGCGCTGTCCTACATTGCGCTAATTCGCTTCGCAACATGTACATAGTATGTACCGTAATCACCACATAAGACAGCACCACCACCACCCTCGACTCTAACGCTGACGCCAGATACAGTCCGAGTAAACCAACCATCTGTGGTATCGAACATAGCTGCTAAAAACCCAATCCCATCGCTAGACCAGCTTCCCTATTTACCTCACGCCTCTTTGAGTCTTGGTGCAAGTCTCGTGGCGCCACATCATAGCCGCCTTCAAACACTAGGTGCCATACCGTACCTTAGGTAGTCCCCATCGATGCCGCAGCTAACACCAAGCGTCTAACTTCTGGCACTGCACTACCCCCCCATGAAACACGAAACACGAGATCTCAGCGAAGTAATTATAGATGAGAAGAACGCCTGATGTTATGTATGGTCGTATATGTTACTGAAGTGGGGTACAAGAGCTTATACAGTAAACACTGATCGACGAACCACAGGTGAAGTAGCGTCAACGAGGCGTGGTGTCAAACAAAGTTAAACCGTGCGAGAGCGTTAGGCATGATGAACTATCATGAGCCAAGAGAAAGCAATGGGCCATCTTCAATGCAACCCACACTCATGGTACTGATGTTTGCCGTCTTCCTAGCCGACTACGAAGAGAACGAGTTTGTGTGCATCAAGTCTGCATGTATGAATGATCAGCCTGCATGCACGCATCGAGCCCACACGGCAAGAGGGGCGGCATCTGCGTACGGCATCAGACGCAGGGACGAGTGGACAGTAGTCGTGGTAGCTATAGAGAGAGTCGAGCTGATATGGGTGGAGTATATAGTACAGATGTTATTACATGTATATGTGACCTAGTTACAAACTATTATACATGTGAGCCGCCCCCCCCGCCCCCGCCGCCTACCTACCCTAGCTCTCCATTGCATACACAGGAACAGGCAATAACAACGAACATGTGCCTGTGTGGGGTTCGTGTCTTGGAAAAGGCTTCATTCTACCGCCTCTTAGCTATGCTTGGTACCCACCCTCCGTTGGCTAACAGCTGGGCAAGCCTCTAACGTCAACGCGGGGTTTAAACTTCGATAGTTTGTACCCAACGGCAACGCGGTTCATCACATTGGGACTTGGCATGCACACTTTCCCCCTTCGACCCCTAACCCCCCCAATGCAGTCCAATTCATCTCTACGTACAGTACGCCTTGTCCCAAGAGCCGGAGCTAGATTCGCCGCTTCGTTCATATATGCCGTTTACGGCAGTCAAACCCTTCTTCAGCGTGCCGCTGTAGACTAGACTAGACTGAGAAGCTTCCTTGTACATGCAACACAGCACAGGCAAAGGGTGTCTCAGCGACTACCGTAGCTCGACGCCTAGTCTCTGTACGAGAAGGGCACATAACCGATCGTGCATTTCGTTGGTCTCGTCGTTGGTCAAGGTGCGCTCCAGACTGCGGTAATTGATGCGGTAGCACAAGCTCCTGCGGCCAGTCTTTGGGTGCACGAATTCATCTGTCAGACGCACGTCTTCGACCAAGTCGCCGCACACTTCGCGCGCGATTTCCATGACGTCGTTTTCGTGGAAGGATTGCGAGGGGGATAGGGGTGCGGGGACGGCGGGGGGGATGGGGGTTGCAGAGGCAGTGTCTTCTGTCATGGCCGTGTTTGCCACGGTTGTAGATGCAGATGCCGTTGGCGATGCCGGTGGATGAATACCGGCTGCACCACCCGCAGCATTAGAGCTAGAGCGAAGCCAGAAACTCACGTCCTTGAAGCAAGCGGGGTATTTGCTAAAGGGGACGAAGCGGCGAATCGGCTGGTTTTCGCTGAACTGGGAGAGGAAGCGCGGGTCTTTTGACCAGAAGAGACGGATATCAGGAATGGAGTAGAGGAGCATGGCAATGCGTTCAAGGCCAATGCCAAAGGCCCACCCTACTCTCTCGGGGACGGAGGCGTTGTTCAATATGGGCTGCGAGACGATACCGCTACCGAGCACTTCGAGCCAGTCGCCCTGCCAGAAGACTTCGAGTTCCCAGCTGGGTGAGGTGAAGGGGAAGTAGGCTTCCACCCACCGGACACGGAGGGGTTCGTTGTCGGTATTGGGTGTCTCTGCATCAGCGGCACTTTTGGCTGCTCGGAAGACGGCGACAACCATGTCTTCGAGGCTTCGTTTCAAGTGTGCTGCGATGGCTTCCACTTCGTCGGGAGAGTGTGAGGCTTGGAGTGGGTTGCGCTCAGGGTGAAATGCTGGGTTGGGATCTTCAATGGCAATGTCATGTTTGGGAATCCTCTCCACATCCTCCCAAATCACTTCAGCGAGTTTCCTCCCCTCTTTCTCTGCTTGTGCTCGACTCCAAGTTCGAGCGCCTTCCATCTGGTGGAAGACGGGATAATGGCTTCGATCCACGGCATCTCTTCGGTACACATCTGCACTGATGAGGTATCCTTCACTCTCATTTTGGCGGAAGATGTCAGCCTGGTGCGCTGAGGTGTGTGTCCGCAACACAGTCTCCTTATTCAGGTAGTACGTGTCTGTCCGGCTTCGTCCGACATGATCCAATGGAAAGCCCAGCGAGTCGAAGTTTTGACCAGTAGTGACAACTGGGAAGAGGTGGTTATGAGTGTGGTAGCCTGGGAACCGTGATTCGATGAGTTTGCGTGTAATGGTCAACGGATGATCAGGTTGAAGATGAAGGCGTCGAGGCACTGCAGCTAAAATAGACGAAGGTGTGTTCATCCATTCATCAGTCCTGTACCTTCTCCCGCTTACTTGGACCTCGTTTGGTGATGTTTCTGGGATGTGCTTAGTGAGTGCATCAGGCATTGGTGTCTACAATAGGGTCAAGATGGAGGAGCGGCACCAATTGACCATGCTGTATAAGAGTCGCATGTTAGGCTTCAAGACTAGTAACACACGACGAGCCCATCCTCTGCAAGTGCGGATACATGTATTGCTGAATCAATGTGCATGGAGTGTTGTTCAGGTTGATGATCACATGACGAGGACATACCGGTACCAGAAGAATTCCACCTCACAGCCCATCGCCCATACCCAGGCCTCAACAACGGTTTCCTCTCTGCAAACAACAACCCCCGACTCCACTGACGGCACGTGCCCGCCGTAACAAACGCTATCCGCATGTTGAGCTGAACAAGGGCTGTGATATGGATTGCCCGATGGCCGTTGCAAGCCTTCGGAAATCCGCCTAAACGCGCCAAGCCACGGACAGCTTTTATAACCGAGCGAGTAACCTCGCCCAGCGAATGACGTCCCGTCGCAGCTGGCGGTCAGTTGAGTCGCAAAATATTCGGCGTCTTATCAACGACCGAATGACACCAAAGTCCTTCACGGCGCAGTAATCCAAGGTCGACGGCGCATCTCCCCTCGCTTTCTCACAGCCATATAGCCACTGTACCTTGTTTTGCCCCCCAGTCACTCGTTTGTCACGGCCCACTACGACATACATGCAGCTTCAGTATACACACCCGTGTTACGACTCAGAATGGCGGTGCTCACGAAAGATGTGAGCATGAAGGATGCGCGGAAGAGCGAGGATGTGAATACGAAGATTGGGATCAGGAAGGCGCCGATTAGTTATCCATTTTGGTTTGGAGGCAGTGCGAGTTGCTTTGCGACGGTGTTTACACATCCGTTGGATTTGGGTGAGTAGTTGTGTCACAATTGAGCTACTTGTGCGAGAGAGGGAGGAGGGGGAAAGGGAGAAGACATTGAGCTGATACGATGGATTGTAGTCAAAGTGCGGTTACAGACGCAAGCCGCCAGTGGAGTGAAATTGAACATGATACAAATGTTCGGACATGTCTTGAAAGCAGATGGAATCTCTGGACTATACAAAGGCGTACGTCTCTCATCTATAAGAATCCCCAGCTCTACACAACCCCAATCCCTCGAATATCATAACCCACCAAGCTCACACCTACTTACCACACCACCAGCTCTCCGCCGCCCAACTCCGCCAACTCACCTACTCCATGACCCGATTCGGCGTATACGAAGACCTAAAATCCCGCTTCACAACCTCCGACTCCAAGCCGTCCTTCCCCACCCTCGTCGGCATGGCCTCGCTCTCCGGCCTCCTCGGCGGCTTCGCCGGCAACCCAGGCGACATCCTCAACGTCCGCATGCAGCACGACGCCGCGCTCCCGCCCGCCCAACGGCGAAACTACAAGCACGCCATCGACGGCATCCTGCGCATGAGCCGAACCGAAGGCATCGCCAGTCTCTGGAAAGGCGTGTGGCCCAACTCCTCGCGAGCCGTCCTCATGACCGTCGGCCAACTCGCCACCTACGACGGCTTCAAGCGCTTACTCCTCGACTACACGCCCCTGACCGATAACCTAACCACCCACTTCACCGCCTCCTTCATGGCCGGCTTCGTCGCAACCACCATTTGCAGCCCCGTCGATGTCATCAAGACACGCGTCATGAGTTCGCAGGATAGCAAGGGCTTGGTCCAGCACGTGTCGGAGATTATCAAGGCCGAGGGCTTTCGCTGGATGTTCAAGGGCTGGGTACCCAGCTTTATCAGGGTTGGGCCCCATACCGTGCTCACGTTTTTGTTTCTGGAACAGCATAAGAAGATTTATAGACGGGTTGCTGGGGTGGATGGGTCGGGTTTGTAGGATGGAAAACGCTTGGATAGAGGGAGGATGTGCACAGAGCGAGAGCGCGAGGATTCCAAAAGAAACAAAAAACAAAAACAAAAGAAAATAGACTCGGATACGGCATTTACTTGGAGTTTCTTGCTCTGGACCTTTCCCGGTTGATTCCGCGTTGTCGCTGCCCAAAAAGTTGCATTCCAAGGGCGTTTAATTTTTTTTCCAACGGGTAGAAGGGTTTGGTTGGGGAGTCAGTCTGTTGGGAACATTTTACATGTGCTAGGTAGATAAACGAGTGTACATCACGTTCGTAGGGTGGCAGGTTGGTTGTGCATAGGCATGAGAAGCATGTGATGTGGAACTGTGTCTGTTGAGGTATGAGAGATATGAATAAGGTAAGCAGAAAAGAAAGAAATACCAGCAAGGAAGCAAAACAAGCAAAACCCCTTCATTATTGCAAGCTAGTAAATACCACCAACATATAATTATACACACTATCCATCCTCATAAAATATACACACCCTCGCCCACACGAGAATCTTCTCATCCCCACCCCCATCAAACCTTTTTCCCACTACCCACAAACGAACCTTCAATCCGCCCCCTCAAAGCACTGATAACTCCACACCTTATCATTCCAGTCCCCCTTGCTCGTAGTCCTCAGATCCGCGTTACCTGGGTACGAGAGGGAGAGGACATCGCGGCCGTCTGCAAAGAGGGCGTCACAGTAGGCGTTGCTGTTATGGGAGACGTTAGTGGGTGTGTGGGATGAGAGGAGAAAAGGAGGGATCATAAGGGGAGAGCGGGTTGTATAAAGCAACAAAAGGATGGAGCAGGAATAAGAAGAAGGATAAAACGAGGACCTACGCATAGAAAATACAATTAAACCCCATGTCCGGCCCCACACTCGACGCCTTACCATCCAGCGTGGTACAGGATGACGGGGAGCCACCGAGTGGGGTTGAATAGTGGATGCATGAGCCTTCCCAGTTGATGTCTGAGCAGATGTAGATCTGTGTTTATATGTGAGTACAAGTGTAGGGGACAGTTTGGGTGGTGTTGACACATGCCAAAGAAAAGGAAAAAACAAAAACTTACACCAGCCAACCGACTAGGCGTAGGCATACTACTCTCCGTCCCCGTCGCACTCACGGTACCCGTCCCGATAGTCATAGTATCCAGTACAGTCGTCGTGCTAGCCTCGAGCACCGCCGTCATAGTGGTTGTAGCCGTCGACGTCATGTCCACTGTGAGGGTTGCGGAAAAAGAGGACGCCGGCGAAGACGATGTGAGTGTGTCGTTTGCTTCGGCAGATGTCAGGGCGGCGGCGGGCGTGTAGATGGTGGTGAAGGAGGTGACTGTGAGGGTGGAGACATAGGGACTGTAGCCTTGGGCTGAGTAAAAGGGGGCAACGGCGGCGGCGGTGTGGGGAGTGTTAGGTGGGGAGGGGATTGCGAGAGCCGCAGTGGAGAGGAGGAGAGTGAGGAGAGTTGATGTGAACATTGTTTCTGTGAGTGTAGGTTGAGAAAGGTAGTCAGCCGTGTGAGGAGGCAAAAACTGGAATTTAATAGCTGTGATCTTAGGGTGCAAAGTGATCGAGATGGAATGATTTGATTCTTCTTCAAAAATGAGCCATGCTCTCTTCCTCTTTATACCTCTCTCAAATCCTTCTCGCAGTTCACAAAGAAGCAAGGCGGGCAACTTGGTACTCTCTGTCAATGTTGACACAGAACGACTACGACCATGGTGGTGACCAAAGGAACATCAACAGCCAAGCTTGATACTCGGCTAATTCAAGTTGTGCAACCGGTAACCTCGTTACACGATGATCTTGCTGCACGCGATTGACCTGCATCCAGGCTGCGCGCCTTTGGTGATATGTGAGACTGGAACAAAGGCCCGGATAGAGAAAGTGTGTGAGTGCGGTGTCAGTCCTAGTTGCTCTCGTGACAGCGGATGATGGCGCAGCGTCGTAGGCGCGCCCTAGGCTTTACATGTTGAGACGGCTTCAGGCCCACGCAGGCGGACGTATCACCCACGGGTTTGCCATGGACTCTCTTCTTTTAAGTTTGTTGATTTGTTATTTGTTGCACACCCGGATAAGGCGCGTCATGGCAACGTCTCCTGGCACGGCGCAACGGTTGAGTGGATGAAACGACAAAGGGTTGGATTATGACGCCCTTGCTGAAAAAAAGCCGGGATCTCTCAGAACTGGATGAGGGGTATATCGTAAACAATACAATTACGAACCAGCAAGGTGGTATCATTTCGCTTTCCAGAAAATCATATCATAACAATGCGCTGAACTCGATGCTGTGTTGCGAGCCAGGTACTGCAAAATTTCTCCCTCAGTATGCAAGTTGACGCAATCATACTCATGACGCAGATTTGACTGGTGCATCTTGGCTTTCAGGCTCATAACTTGTTTCTCCGAGCATGTTCGTTGGGCCAGAGGCTGTGGGGGTAGCGGGAGCAGCGGTACTGGGACCTCGAGCCGCTGCGGCGTGTAGTCTCTGGTCAAGTGCTTTCAACGCCAGCGCTCTTCTCCTCTCTGCCTCGGCGCGAGTGCCCCCTCCTCTTCCTCCTCTGCTATTGGGGTTCATTATGCTGGGCAGACCGCCCTCGGCGCGAGCATTGGCTTGTTCGTTGCCAGCATCAATGTCCTCGTCTGAGAATGGGGTGCATACTTTGAGCGAGATAAGAGTGTTGTACACGCCGTCTGCCAGTGTTCCAATGGGAGTCTGGAGTGGCTCGGGAAAGAAGTGGGCGAAAGAGAAGGTGTCCGAGGCATCGCCGCGGATGACGGAGCCGTCGCCAGTGGCGCTCGAGGACAGCGAAGGGCTCAAGCGGTAGAAGCGAAGGTAGATCCAAGCGGTAAGGAAGCCAAAGTAGGCCAGGAACATGGCCGTCTCGGTGCCAATGACGATGCCCGAGACTGTGTTGGCAGCGAGGAAGATGGCGGGAAAGTGCTTGACGCGCATGCGAACAAGGCCCTTTGCGATGGCGACTGTGTGTTCGGGGACAAGCTGCTTGAAGGCGACGAGGAAGCCTGCTTGGATAGCGATTGCGCCCGAGATGGTGGTGAAGCTATTGGTGGGGGTAGTCAGCACTTGAGAAGAGGGCAACAGGTAGGCAGGAAGCGGGCATCGTACAGCATGGAGTCCTTCCTTGTCAGCAGATAGCCGGCGATGTAGAGGAGGAAGGTCAAGATGTTGGGGACCATGGCCACGAAGAGAATGAACTTTGTGAATTCCTGAGAGCCCCATGCGCGCTCGAGGTAGCGGCCACCATAGAAGATGGTGAGGCCCGAGGTAGCTAGGCCCAGTAGGTTCTGTTCGACGACGGTGGCCAGGGCAAAGACCCAGGGGTAGATGATGGACTGGCCAGGACGGATGGTCAGGAAAGGCACGCCTTCGCTGACCAACAGAGGCTGCACCGTCTTGACTACCGAGTGCGGCCGTATAGCGAAGTTGAGGAGGGTGAAGCCCACGACGGCGGCGAGCAGGGCGCGAGTCAGCGGGGGCAGATTGATTCTGGCCATGATGTCGCGGTTTCGTCCGTCGTCGTCGTCGTCGTCGTCGTCGTCGTCGTCGTCGTCGTCTTCTCTGTTGGGGGGACCAAGGGGGTAGCTACAGTGGCACTGGCACAGTCGACGAAAGAGGGTGGACGTTGTTGTCCTGGGCGGTCTAGGTCTTAATTTCGGCCTGGGGGTTGTTGTACCTACGTACTAGAGTACGTAGCGATGGCATACCCTTCCTCCCTACTGTACCGACTCTACTGACTGGGGGGGGGGCGGGTTTACATAAGGTATCGGAGGTCGGCGGTGGGTTTGGGTGGAGTCGCTGGAAGTGTCTTCGGCAAGGGGGGAAGGGAACAATTCTCACAGATACAATACCGTATATGTACAAGCCCCGCGTTGCTTATTCGCACTGCAGGTGGGCACCTTACTCTTTATAGGGAAGGAAGCTTGGCTAAGAATGTTTTGTTCACCAATCACCATTGCCTGTCCGTGCATTAGCTGACTGTTACCCACCTTTTCTGGCACAGGTTAAATTACATGGTAAGAGCCCTGAGCCATCTGCGAGATCTAGCCCCACTTTATGACCTGACTGTTGTATACCAATCGATACGGCTCAATGGTACAATACAATCAATACAGTACACGATAGACTAGGCTGATTAGCGGCCTGGCCAGGCTAGAGTAGGAGGCCCAGGAGGCTACTCGAGAAGGCTACATTTCGTACAAAGGCTTAGCAGGCCATCGGACTAAGTGGCCTAGGGCGACGTTTAGCTGCAAAACTGCCCCAGGCTGCCCTGTGCCCTAACTTACTTGACAAGCTGAAGTCCATTGTCGACCATCCAAGAGACAACCCGCCCAGACAGCCAGACAGCCAGACAGCCAGACAGCCAGACAGCCAGACAGCCAGACAGCCAGACAGCCAGACAGCCAGACAGCCAGACAGCCCATCCCAGCAGCCAACAACACCGCCCACGCATCGCCTCTTGTCCACGATCACGACGACCACCGCCGCCGCCCACCCGCCACTTGTTCGCTGCCCGCGCTTTACCTACTCCGCCTGACGCGCAATCAGCCATTCCCCGTGCGGCTCCATAACATCCCTCCCAACTGGGGACGCATGAAGCGGGCCCAGAATGCGCCATGGCCGAGACTTTGTCCAGCAACATCGTGAACTATCTCGGCATGCCAACCCCTTCCTCTCTTCCCCTCCGTTGCCCTCCTCAATGCGCTCTTCTAACATTGTCTCTAGTATGGCGCTACCTCCAGGAGGCCGGCTTCGGTAATGCGGCCCTGCAACTCTCGCGCTGCTGGATTCGCGACCCCGAAACCCTGCCCTTCGCACGCAACGTCGAGCCGCACACGCTCATCCGCCTGCTCCAAGATGGCATGTGCTTCGACCAGCTGCAGGCAGAGGCATGCAACGTAGGTGCACTCGATTGATGGCGGGGTAGCTGGCGCTGACTGGGACAGACTGAGCCGCGATATAGATTCGGCGCAGACCATGGACGTCCTTACTCTACCCGCAACGGAGCGCTCTTGACCCTTGACAAGGGCATTCCCGCCCATGAGCTGGCCACAGAGGCCAATGGAGCCGTGCAAGAACCCGCGCCCAAAAAGGGCGTCAAACGGAAGAAGGCCAAGCCCACAAACGGCGTCGAACCGCGACAGGACCAGCCCGAGCTCAATGGCGACGCAATGGAGATCGACCATCAGAATGGCACTGTCCACGCCACCAACAGCCTGAGGGCTGAATCGGAGCCCATTCCTTCCGAAGCCGAATCGCCCACAGTCACCGACATCCCCATATCCACCCTGAGCATCGGCCAGGACGCGGAAATACAGACCGAGGTCATTGCAGATCTCCATGCCAACACCGTCTTCCTGCCACGACAAAGAGACAATGACAGCGTCGTCGAGCACACCTCGTGGGGCCCTGCCGAGTCGCCCGTCCTGCTCGCCGCCGGCAAGTCATTGTTACAAGTGCACGTCATCGACAAGGAGCCCAGCGACAGACAGGACGACCCGTCCATCAGGACAGCCGACGTTCACCTTCCAGTGAACAACTTTGAAGTCACCGCCCTCTGCTGGCATTCCCAAGGCGAGATCACAGTCTCTGTCCGAGAAGAGTGCTTCAATGAAGTCGGCGAGAAAATGATGATGGACAAGCTCATCAAATTGATAGACGGTGGCCAAACCTCACAGGTCATCTCGTCCACGGCTGGTCTTGTCAACACACTTCGCTGGAATCCCGAAAAGGAACTGCTCTTGTCCATCTCAACCGACGGAGAAAAGGGATCCATCAAAGTTTGGAAAAACGAGAGCGATTCCATACCAGCCTGGACCGAATTCACAGACACGGCCATTTTCGACGCCCTGTGGATCAGCGACTCGGCCTTTGTCGTCTGCGGTATCGAGCTGTTCAAGATCTTCGAAGTGAATGATTCACTAACGAGCCAGCGGACCCTCGACACACGCGTCACATGGGAAACTGTCAAATACGACGCGGGCTCCGGCATCCTCGCGGCGCATGGAGTCGAAGGCCAGACCAGCTTTCTTGGCATCCTCCATCCAAACGATTCGATCAATCTTCAGACGCACGAGTATCCCGATCAATACCTAACCGATATAGACTTCCGAAGCAGGAAAACGCACAATGCACTCACCAACGGTACCTCTATGCCATCGACACTATTGGCGACAAGTTCCATGTCGGGAGCGACGCGCATCTGGGATGCCAACGAGCCGTTTCAATGCGCAAAGAAGCTGCCGACGACCGATGGCGCTCAAGCCTTCAAGGTTGCCTTCTCACCAGACGGAGTGTTGCTAGCAGCAGCAGGCCCAGATGCGGTGACGGTGTGGGATGTTGAGAAGAGAGAGGTCCCAGTGGCATTGTGGCGGGCAAAGGACTGGCCCATAGACAAGTGGAATCCCAGCGTAGATGGCGAATTCAGTCTTGGTTGGGACCCTGACAGTTCAAGACTGTCGATTGCTCTCGGAAACCAGGTGAGGGACTTGGAGGGAAATTAGATGCACTACTGTATCATTCATTGCTGACATGGCACAGATCGCAGTCATCCCAACTCCGAGGTAGGACGAGGAATTGCATCTCCACCGACGCGAAAGACAGCTCGGTGGCCTAACCCCCAGACTTTGACTTGCACATCCATCACGCGACGACAGATCTAAGACGATGTGGGCGGACGATGAATCAGAGCTTTGTCATGCCGGCCACAGCAGACGGTCTACCCGCACCAGAGTTATGCGACCGGGGGGAGACGGAGTTTGGCGGCCCTTGATGCAATGCAACCGGAAACGGAGGCACGATTCCGCGGCCTTGGAGTCGAAGGCGGGGGCGACAATGTGGAGTTTGGGGTAGGCGTGCGGAGTGCGCCTCGCCTCTGATAGGCTGACGGGGGGGGGGGGGGGCAGCCATTGCCTCCCCACCGTCTTTCGAATCCGTGCGGGCCACCACCTTAACTCCAAGATCGCCCTATTGGGCACTTTGTGTGCTTCGGCAATTGTCTAGGTACCATGCGGTATTGCGCTTGATCGTGAGGGGGCATAATGCAAGCGACCTTTAAGATGGCTTCGGCCTCGACATGGTTGTTTGGCTTGGTCGATACACTCGTCGTCGTCGTCGTCGTTGTCGTCGTCTTATTCGCGCCCTTCTTCTACTGTTCTTCGTTGTGCGACACCTATTAAGTAGCGCACAGCCTTGTCTGGATAGGTTTTTTGAGAATTGGATTTGGTTAAACAAAGTCTGGGTAGTTGTGCCCTACGTCATGTCCGCTGTGCCTAATCTCCCGTCCAACCTACCTGGACTGCATGATCGTGGCACTCGCACGAACGGTGCTGATGTCAACCATGTGCGTACCAATCGACCCGTTCATGGTAATGGGCCAGCGCGGTCTTTCGAGATCAACGATGCTCCAATAGAGAATCAGAGACCGATGAAAGTCATTGTGATTGGCGCTGGCTGGTCAGGTATCTATTGCGGTATTCGCATCCCAGAGAGACTGCGAAATGTCGAACTGGTCATCTACGAGAAGAATGCCGGTGTGGGTGGGACATGGTATGAGAACAAGTAAGCGAAAGTTTGGTTTCTCAAATGTCGCATTGGAGGCATTCGGGTTGCAGTGTACAGACGACTTACTTCTACAGATATCTTGGTTGCGCCTGCGATATCCCTTGCAAGTACCATGATCCTCCATGCATACCCGCGCACGACTGACTGGAACACAGCACACTCATACCAATACACTTTCGAACCGAACCCAGACTGGTCCTCTCTCTACGCCCCAGCCGCAGAAATTCAAGCCTACCTTGAGCGCGTAGCGACCAAGTACTCTGCAACTCGATTCATCAAGCTTCAGCATGAAATCATAGGCTGTCGGTGGGAGGATAAGACCGCAAAATGGCATGTCAGTGTCAGGAATCTGGCTACGGGCGCGATGTTTGAGGATTCATGCGATGTCTTGATCTCTGGGAGGGGTAATTTGAATACACCGTCATGGCCCGACATTGAGGGGCTCAAGGAGTTCAAGGGGGAGGTTATGCATTCTGCCACATGGAATGAGAGGTTTGTACTTCCCGTGATGAACACAAGACTTAGGTTGAACACCTGAGCGGGCTATATTGACAACCACCAGCTACGACTTCACCCACAAACGCATAGGAGTAATCGGTTCCGGCTCCTCCTCCATCCAGATCGTACCCTCTCTCCAGCGACTCCCTGGTACCCACATTTCCACCTTTGTGCGCAGCAAGACCTGGATCTCGCCGCCATTCGGTGCAGAATTCTTCTCCAAATACAACTTTGCATCTTCCACTGTTCCGCTCGAGCTACGTGAACGCTTCAAAAATGACCCCGAGGCATATCTCAAGTTCAGAATCAGTGTCGAGCAGGACGGAAATTCGATTCACGCTGTGACGATGAAGGGCACCCCCGCGCAGATTGGCGCGAGGGACGCATTTTATGCGCACATGAAGGAGAAACTAAAGAGCAAGCCGGAGATCTTCCAGGCGCTGATCCCCAGTTTTTCCCCGGGTTGTAGAAGATTAACACCCGGGCCCGGCTACCTCGAAGCCTTAGTCCAGGACAACGTAGCTTTCATCACCTCCCCCATCACCCACATATCCGAGACGGCGATTCACACCGCCGACGGGCAAGCACACGAAATCGACGCCCTAGTCTGCGCCACGGGCTTCAAATCCAGCACCGCGCCGCCTTTTCCCGTAACCGGCATGCACGGCCTCTCCCTGCAGGAAAAATGGTCCCAACGCGCAACTACGTACATGAGCCACAGCATCTCGTCATTCCCCAATCTCTTCACCATGCTCGGCCCCAACTCTGCCATTGGCACCGGCAGCCTCACGCACATGATCCAAAACGTAGGCGACTACATCATCCGCTGCATCCGCAAGCTGCAAAAGGAGAATATTGCGGCCATGGTGGTCAAGGAAGCGCGCGAACGCGACTTTATAGAGTATGTGGATCGCTACTTTGAGGACACGGTGTTTAGCGATGAGTGTAGGAGTTGGTATAAGAATCGGGGCACGGGTGAGGTGGTTGGACTTTGGCCGGGGAGTACGCTACATTTTGTCGAGGCATTGAGGAGTGTGAGATGGGAGGACTTTGAGTATGTTTATGTTGGGGAGTTGGAGGGAGAGGGGGAAGGGAGTGGTGAGGGCAAGGGCGGGAAGAAGCAAAAGGTCAATCAACTCGCCTGGTTGGGGAATGGGTGGAGTATAAAACAAATTGAAGAGAGGGATTTGGCGTGGTATTTGTATCCGGAGTTTGTGGATGGGCCGGTTGCGCCGTTGCCGGAGGAGAAGGAGAGCTTGAGGATCAGGCCGTTCTCGTATTGAGTGGGTTGGCGTGGGGTGAGAGGTGAAAGTCTAATGGGTATGTACGTATATGTAGATTTAGAGAGCTGAGAAATGTTTTATGGCAATGGTTGTCTTTTGAGAGATGTACTTATGATTGCGATTGCTCACCTAGTGTGCCGTGAGGCAAAGGTTCTTAGTCATTCAATGTATTTATGAGAGCGTTCTATATTTTAAGAAAATTCTTTGAAGCAGTTTTAGGGCATCTTATATCTCATATTTAGATATCGTTAAAGTCATTGCAGATCCAAACGGATAGACCCCAGTCGCTTTCACAAGACAGCCTCAGAAGCTGGGGAAGGATGATGCCTAATGAGGTTTAGGTAGACGCTTTGTGGGGAAAGCCGAGGCTCATTCACATGTCGTCGCAAGGGAAGCTGTGAACACCGACTTGAGCCTCAACCTACAAGGTCCTTGCCAGAGAGTCGTCCAACGTGCAGCTTCCCACCGTGCAACACACACTCACAGCCACGTCCCTTGCCACCAGATTCGGAATCCCCGACCATCGCATTGCGACCGCGTATCGCGCTGCCTGAACAACCGCCCACACGAATGCCTCTCCCACGGTAGCCATGGCCGTCCTCTCGAAACCCTTCTTCAAGCAGCGCCTTACCACTAGCTCTGCAAAATCCATCGTCAACGATCTTACCAGCCTCTACCTTCAAAACCGCACTAAAATATCCCGTGCCGTCTACCTCACGCTCTTCGTCACCCTTCTGAATCGCATACGCCATGCCATTGCCTCGCAAAAAGAAGCCGCCTCGATCCGCCGTGCCTCCAAGGCTTCGGTGTCGAAGAAGTCATCCGGTGAAGGCGAAGCCACGGGTCACAAGAAGGTCGAGCTGAATCGCGAGTTCTTCAAGAACCTCCTGCGGCTGCTAAGGATATGTATACCGGGGTGGAAGAGCAAGGAGTTTAGATTGGTCATTGGGCACACCATCTTCCTGGTGCTGAGGACGATGATAAGTTTGTATGTTGCAGAGCTCGATGGCAGGCTCGTCAGTGCGCTTGTTAGGGGGCGCGGGAGAGAGTTCATGGTGGGCTTGGTATGGTGGATGGGCGTTGCTATTCCAGCGACGTTTACGAATAGTATGGTATGTTGTGGGGATGGTGGCGTTTATTTGAGATCGGAGCATGTGGATGTACTAATGCGCGCAGCTCTCCTACCACCAGTGCAAGCTGTCGTTGCAGTATCGAACGCGCCTTACAAACTACATACATTCAAAGTATCTCTCGCAAATGACCTTCTACACCCTTTCCGCCCTCGACGACCGCATTTCGAACGCCGACCAGTTGATCACTGTCGACGTTGCCAAATTCTCAAACTCTCTCGCGGAGCTATACTCCAATCTCGCCAAGCCAGTCCTCGATATGATCATCTACAGCTACAGCCTTTCAAGAAGTGTCGGTGGAGAAGGCCTGTTCTTCATGTCATTACTGGTACAACTATCTGCCAATGTGATGAGGGCCTTGACGCCTCCCTTTGGGAAGTACGTTGCGGATGAGGCGAGACTGGAGGGCGAGTTCCGATTTCAGCACAATCGATTGATCGATTGGAGTGAAGAGGTCGCGCTTTATGCCGGTCACGAGGCGGAGAAGGACACACTGGACAAGGGATACTTCACACTGATTAAGCACGTAAACAGGATATTACGGAAACGCTTCTATCACGGTATCATGGAAGACTTTGTAATAAAGTACTTCTGGGGTGCGCTCGGCTTGATGCTCTGCAGCGTACCGGTGTTCTTCAAGGTGCCTGGGACAGGTGGCAAGACCATGGGGGACAGAACAGAAAGTAAGTTTTGACGCATTGGGGAGGGCTGGCTAAGGGCTATTGACTGACTTCACAGGCTTTGTCACGAACCGCCGCATGCTCCTCATGTCTTCTGACGCGTTCGGTCGCGTCATGTTCTCGTACAAGGAAATCACCGAGCTCGCTGGCTACACGTCGCGAGTCTCCACTCTCCTCGAGGTAATCGACGACATTCAAGCCGGCCACTTTGAGAAGAAACTCGTTTCGTCTGCGGACATTGAAGAAAACGCAGCGGTGCTACGAGGACGAGGCAGCGTGACAGAAGGCCCAGACATTGAATTCGTCGACGTACCCATCGTCTCGCCCAACGGCGACGTCCTCGTCCGCGCCCTCTCCTTCTCCGTCAAGCCCGGCGACCACCTCCTCATCGTCGGCCCCAACGGCTGCGGTAAATCCAGCCTCTTCCGCATCCTCGGCGGCCTCTGGCCCGTCTATGGCGGCACAGTGCGCAAACCGCCGTTTGACGACATCTTCTACATACCGCAGCGGCCCTACCTCTCCCGGGGCACCCTCCGCCAGCAAATCATCTACCCGGACAACCTGCGCGAAATGCACGACAAGAACGTCACAGACGCCCAACTCCTACAGATTCTCGACTCGCTCGACATTGCCGCCCTCGTCGACCGCCCCAACGGCTTCGACGCCGAACAAGCGTGGGAAGACGTCTTGTCCGGCGGTCTGCAGCAGCGTGTGGCCATGGCCCGGCTGTTTTATCACCGCCCACGCTACGCCATTCTGGATGAGTGCACGAGCTCGGTCACGCTCGAGGTTGAGCGGGTCATGTATGAGGGCGCCAAGCGGTTGGGGATTACCCTGATGACGGTTAGTCATCGTCGTAGTTTGTGGAAGTATCATACGCGCATCTTGCAGTTTGATGGACAAGGTGGGTTTTATTTTGGGCGGTTGGATGCGGAGAGGAGGGCTGTGCTTGAGGAGTGAGTTGAATTTTTCTTTTTGTTTTCATTGTTGAATCCGCTTGCGCCCCCTTTCTCGCTTCTTCGTTTTCTTCCTGTGCTGTGGATGCAGCATTGTTTTGTACAGGAATGGTTGGGGTGCTAACTGTGTTGGCTAGTGAGAAGGAGGATATCGAATTGCAATTGCGAGCGGTACCGGACATTGAGCAGAGGATTAGAGAGTTGACGAGTGATTAGTCGGCATGTTTTTTTCTTGAAAGAGGTTGGTCAGGCAGACGGATTGGGTGCAGAGGAAGAAGAGGGAAGGGGAAGATGCGGACACACAGGTGAGGCTTTGCCATCTAGCCAACTGTACGATTTACACGAGCACGTCTGCATCAGCCATGTATACTTTTCATCCAAGGTCATTTTTTCTTTACACTTGCAAAACATGTATTGATACCTCACATGACACAGGTGGCCTTCATCTTCCATGATCTTCTGCAATAGACCACACTCCCACGTCATGTCATTGCCTATTGCGGCAGCGCCGTATATATTACGCCATTTACGTACGATAGCTCGCGTAGGATTATGTTTAGTGGTACTGGTGGGGTGGGTCGACGAAGCTGAGGCAAGGAGGGGATTTTGATTGGGGGGTTGGTGTGGTTGTGAGGCGTTGGTGTGGGGGCCGGGTGGGGGGTGGTGGGGGGAAATGGGGTGTTGTGGAGTGAGAAGTGGGATGGTGTGGGAAAATGGCATGGGAAATGGGGTGTTGTGGAGTGAGAAATGGGATGATGTGGGAAAATGGCATGGGAAATGGCGTGCCCGTCATATGCTTGCAGATACAAATGGCATGTCTTGGTAGGAAAGGGGATAGTGCTGCAGTACGACCGCAAGGCGCATTCGAATATTCTGGTATAGATGTGTTGTCACAATCCCAAAGAAAAGGAAAACAGCTGTTGTGACCCGCCTGACGGATGACGATTGGTTAGTTGTGGGCTGATTCAAAGGTGACGTACATTGAGTACCGGTAAAGTGTGTAGAGGAAACAAGGAAAGTGGTTTGATGCTCAGAAGTAGCCTCAAGCTAGATAGAAAAGGTCGAGCACGTGCTGTGGCGCTGGAGCTGTGGCTGGACCCTGGAGCTGTGGCTGGGCACGTGTTGCGCAAGCACTGGTGCCATGTTTGTACAACTGTAGTGTAGAGGGCTGCAGAATGGTCTGCAGTACTCTAACATAGGGGACTGCATTTGAAATGCAAGCTTTGTGTTACCAGTACTGCTGTCCATCTAAAAAAGAAGAGTCTTGTAATTCCATTCAATGCTGGGCAATACGGGAAAACGCAGTGGCAAGAGATGCCACTTGGAACCTTGGAACCCCGAAGAGCTATGACAAGCCCTAGAGGTACCAGACTGTCGCCGTTCCACGGTTGAGCCGCACGCTAGCAGGCTTAGCGGCGGCTAGACCCGAAGGCGTCATGTTTGTTTTGCTGTTTAGCGAGGCTAGGGCGGACAAACATGTGTTCTCACGTGACGCTCTTGGCAGGCGCCCCCGCCAGCGTGCCCGCCTTTTAAGCCGTCCTCGCTCTCTCTTTCCTTTCTTCTTCTTCTTCTTCCACAACACACTTGTGAAACGCTTCATGACCAACGCAAGTTCCGCAATCAGTTACATCTGCTCAATTGCTCTATTGTCATTGCTCTACTTCACCAGTATCGCCTTCTCCATTACAACTGTTTCTTGTTTACAGCAGCTCGTCGACGCGTCGCACCTGCTTCAGCCACCTGTCCTCTTTCTCCAAACAACACCACAACACGTTCCTGCTTCCGCACAATTCATCAGCATTGATCCTGGATAGTACCCAGTTGTCATGTCTCAATTCAGAATCGGCCAGACGGTCGAGACATCTGCAGGACAGCAAGGCGTTGTCAAGTATGTTGGGCCCATACACTTTGCAAATGGAACCTATGTCGGCATCGAGCTTGCCACGGCAGACGGCAAGAACGATGGCTCTGTCCGGGGCCAGCGTTACTTCACTTGTGCAGAAGACCATGGCCTCTTCGTGAAAAGCAGCAGTAACCTACGTGTTGTTCGTGCAGCGGCACGGACTAGGTCTGCAACTTCCACAACTGCCACCACCGCCTCCACCTCCACCACCATCACGACGGCGACGCGTCGTCCTTCCGTTACACGAGTAGCACCAAGGTTATCTACGAATCAAATCGAGTCGCTACAGACTCGAATTAAACACCTCGAAAAACAACATTCGGAGGATCAAGAATGCATAAGGGAATTGGTGCTCGCTAAAGAAGAACGGGACCGGTTTAAAAATCTTCTGGAAAAGCTTCAAAACAAGTGCCAAGTTCAGCACACGGAACTTCAAGAGTTGAAGCAGAATCTCAGAGATGCACAGAACGAGCATGAGATCCTCACAAGGAATACCCAAGAGAATGAGATCACACTGGAGGACGCTCTTGTCGAGAAGGAAATGGCACAGCTTCGTGCCGAGACTGCTGAGGCGGAATTCGAGTCACTCCGGTCCCAATTGCAAGAGCGCGATGAAGAGCTGGAGATCCTTCGCCAAGAGGCTGAACTCTACACTGCGGAAATGACGGAGGAAGAGAGACAGGAAGTTGGATACTATCGACTGCAGCACGACAACGACCGCATGAGAGAAGCTTTGCTGAGTCTGAAGGAAATGACGGAGGAGAGGGAGCAGGATCTGAAGAGCAGAATCGATAGCTTGGAGTCTGATCTCACCAACCTCGACGCCTACGCACGCGAGAATGCTTCTCTTCAACAACGCGTTACAGACGCTGACGCCATCATCGATGATCTAAGACAACGTCTGGAGGCCGCCAGCGAATGGGAGGACATGATGGGAGAAATATCAAACCAGAATCACGATCTCCAAGATAGAATCGCGGAGCAAAACCTACACATCCAGGACCTCGAGAACATCAGGGAGCTGAATGATGAACTCGAGGTGCAGCATTTGGAACAACAAGAGGAACTGCGCGCGGAGCTTGATAGTAGAGACATCGAGCTCGCAGAGCAGGCCCGCCATATCGTCGAGCAGAGCGCCATCATTGCCGACCACGAAACCCTCATCGCCAAATTCCGAGACCTTGTCATCGACCTCCAAAACAAAGCTATGGATGCCGAGTCTTCCAAGACCATGACGGAGGCCATGGTCAGGGATACCACTGGGAAGTTCAACGAAGTCATGGACGTCAATCGCCAACTCCGCACCGCCACAGTACAGTCTACCGCGAGGAAGATTGATCACGACCTTGCGAAAATGGAGCTCGACTTGTCTCGCCGGGAGACTGCTCTCTGGAGTGAGGGTGCAGGAAGGGAGTTCATCATGGGCGAAGCGAACCAGGCGTACGTTGTGACGAAACGATTGGACACCAAATGCAAAATCCTCAAGGAAGCCTTGTTCAGTACTCAGAAGCAGATGAGCCATGGTGGCCGATTGGACGATGCATATTCCCAACTCAACATATGTGACGCGACTGTTCATCTCAACAATATTGAAGACCGCAATTGCCGACTTCAATGGACCATGCATACCGCCTCTCTCGCACAATTCACTGCAATGGGTTCAATCTACCAGGACTTGCTCACTCTCGAACAAGTTCTTGATGAAGGCTTGAACTCCGTGAAGACAGACGCTATCAACTTTGATGAGCTTCCTAGTTCTCTGATGCGATCGAGCAGGACATATGAAGCAATTCTCGCTAGTCAGCACGAGATACTATGTACCAGACCCGAGAATGAAATCTCGGCGCGTGCTGCAGCCTTTGAAACCCGGCTCTGGTTCATCAAGGAGGTGTTTGCAGTGCTCACCTGGGCGCTTGCAAAGGTCCCCGACAGCGTTCAGCGGGAAATAAGGGATGTCCAAGAAACTCTCAGGGAACAAATCAACAAAGTTGACATCACGTATGAACGTGCTCGTAAATTTGCAGAGACATTACGTGCCCTTCGACAAGATGGGCTATATTGCCCAATGAATCAAAATAATTTGGAAGAGCTCGCAGAATTCGAAGAGAAAATCACCAACGCTTCCGGTGAGACGTGCGAGTTCGCTCGAAAACTGATTGCAGAGCTCATCACGTGTTCCACTTCCGCTGCATCCGAGACGGTCGACAGTAACGTTGCTCACGAAGCTGGCAAGGCCATTGTGCGCCTGCAAGATGCGCAGAGCGAGTTTCTCTGGAGTTCTTATATTGGATTGTTGTCTGGCAGCCTCGACATTTGGATTACCCAAGTCTCATCACTGTTGTACTGCGTCGAAATCCCTCAAGGCCCCACACCGTGGGCTCAGAAGGCAAAATTGCGCAACGAGGCTGTCAAGCTGGGTGAAGAGCTGGGACGACAGCTAGATGAAATGAGGGCGGAAAGGAGAGCGACGCTCCTGAAGATACACGAACGTGAGGAGATTATCGCGACGAAGGACCTCGAAATTGAGCATCTCATGGCTAAGAACCGAGATGCGGCTACCAAGGCCGAGGCTGTGGACACACTAAAGGCTCAGATCATGGAGCTCGAGGATAAAATCACCGATCTCCAGAGGACCCAGGAATCGCAGTCGCAAATCATACGCGAAGTCGACACCGAGGATATGGACGAAGCCACCCTCGAGGCGAGAGTAGTGGTAGATCCACTGCCAACCTATGCCGAGCCTGTAGAGTTCCCGTTGGGGGATTCCCACACACCGCCAGGCATGGCCATCATGTTGGAGGCATTACAAAATGAAAACCACTGGCTTCGTCAACGTGCCTACAAGGATCAGTTTGAAAACAACTTGCTCGACTACTTCTACAAGCTAGGCGGGCCGCGTTCGAACATCTCCTACCGGTCTACCCGATCTATGATGTTGGAAGACATGAGCGACGATGAAGATTTCGCGACTCCCCCTGTTTCACCGCCTCTGGCAGCGTCCACGGCTTCACCCATCAGCCTTGAAGCTATCCAGCTTAGCTTGGATGGCAGGCAACATGGCCTTAAGGAGGCAATTGAGGCCCGTGCATGGCTCACCACAATCGCGGAAGAGGAGGATGACGAGAGCGTCTTTGGTTAGTTTTATTGCCCTTGAAGGGGTGTCTGTCGGTTTCAGTTGGTCGGGTATGGAGGCTCTGCCTCTTGGATTACACATGGGAGTTCTGGTCTGGTTATTGTTGCATTGCAGGCCCCATGGGCGGGGTTTTGGGATGTCTTTTTGAGATCCGCCGTGTAGGCGTAGATTCCCTGGCGTTATTTGGTTTTGTTGTTACTGCTTCTGTTTCTTGTACTGTTTCTCTGTTTCTTGCTCTTGATTTGGATTTTTGTTTGTTTGTTTGTTTAGTTTTTGCTTGCTTTTTAGTTTTGTTTTGTTTTGGTTTTCGAAATGCACGTCTTTCTTGTCATGGTGGGCGCGTTTGTGTTGATGCTGGTTCTTGAGGTTCTCAAGTTCCAAAGGTAGAGTTTCTCGGTCCCTTTCTTGCCTGCTTTCTCTGCGTATACCCCACGGCATAGGCATGGTGTTTTTGTTTTTTTGCGTCATTTGAATTCCGCGAATACCCCATGTGTTTGTATGTTGGGTGCCTCTTGCACCTTTTTGTATACGACTTTGGGAAAGCATCATGGTTATCCAGGCAGTCGGCATAGAGTAGCTGTTGTCATAGCTTGACGGAAAATGGCCTATATAAACAATACCGAGCCTGAATTTCCTGCCTCTCTCCTTCACTCCACTTTGCTGCCTACCACACCAACATCGTTCTCCCATTCACCAGCCCCTCCAAACTATCATTCGTCCAGCCTGCTAATTCTTCCAGCTTGCCATCTTTTCCCTTCTATCATTTCTTCATTCTTCCATCTATCTATTCATCTTTGCATGTCGAGGCGCTGGGGAGCTGGATGGGTTTGCTTTTTTTGTTTGGTTGATTGGGCGTTTGTCGTTTCTGCGCTGGTGCGATAGCTGGAGCTTGTATGGCTGCTGGAACGCGTCATTCTGACTGTTGTGTTGCCATGGGCAGGATCAAGGGGGATAGACTGGAAGGTGGGAGGAGGGGAAGCAGGGGACGGGGCGAAGGGTATCACCACGGTGTTCAGGGAAGAAATTTACACTTTGACTTCTGTGAGTGGACTACAATGCTACTTCTAGACTTGTCTGATGGATGGATGATTCTAAAAAAAAAAAAAGTCTTGATGATTGCTGTCGGTAGATGCCTCTTCAACTACCAGGTCCACCTTCCCGTGTACAAATGGACAACACAACAAACGTCTAGCAAAAACGCCACAGGTCAGTCATAACTACGACTTCAGCACACTATCTCGCCAACCCTATATAGCCTTGCCATTCTCCATTCAATCTACCGTACCCCAATGCGGAGCGCCTTCAATCGCAGGCCTCTCCTGCCTCAACCTCGCATGCAACTTTGCACTCTCATCCGCCGACTTCATCACCTCCTTCTGCCTCGCCACATTCCGCTCGTACACATCCTCCTTCTCCTTCAACATGCGCCGCTCCACGCCCGCCCGATGCTCAAGCTCGCTTCTCCGCTGCTCCACCATCTTGGCTTCGGCCGCCATGGCCGCCCCGGCCTTGCGCTCCTCATACGCCTGTCGTTTGGCGGCTGCGTCGCGCTCCTGCTCCATGACCAGATTGTGCCAGGCCACCTTCTCGGCGCGCTTCATGCGCTCGGCATCGCGCACCCTTTGCACTTCAAATTCGTGTTTTTGCTGCTCGAGCGCCTGCCAGTGTTGCTGGGCTGCGGCGGCAGCGGCCTGCTCGGCTTCTTGGGCTTCGCGACGCCGCCGCAGCATGTCGCGGTGCGAAGTCTCTTCTAGGGTGCGTGTGTGCTCGTGGGTTTCTTTTGCGTGGCGGAGGGATAGTTCATGCTCTTTTTGTCGGTCGACGAGGCGGGCTATGGGTGCAGGAATGCCTGTTGCGCCCACGGGCTGGAGCGCGGTTTCCGAGTAGTATTTTGGCTCGCAGGCCTTGTCGCGCAGGAGGGAGAGCAGTTGCTGTTTGACCGGGGCTCGGCTGGGGGATGCAAGTTTGTCGACGTAGGAGAGGGGTGAGTACCAGAGCCCTGAGGCGGGGTCGCGGTACATGTGTTTCTCATCGTTGAGATGCTGCCATGTTTCTGTTTCGAGAAGGGCTTCAGTGATGGGCAAGGCGCTGTAGGCATTGTCCAAAGCGAGGACGACGGCTGCCTTCTCATTTCTCGCCCTGAACGTGGGACTTGCACCACGATCGAGCAGCAACCTCATCATTTGTCGTACCTTGGACCGCTGCGCACTGGTCTCTACTTGGGCATTCAAACACAGCTCGCCCAGTGCGTTCCTCCCACCATGCAATCTAGATGGGAAATTCGGATCATGTCCATTTTCGACCAAGACCTTCGCAACATTAACATCCAACTCTCTCGCAGCCTCGTGCAAACTCCCATCGTTTCTCAAAGCCCGCGGTGCCAGTATCCTAGCAGTCGCATCGCCCGCTACACTACCACTAACGAACAGTAGTGCAGATCGATTCGACCCGTCCCGGGCATCCGCATCCGAGCCTCGCTCCAACAGCGCTTGTATGACTTCATGCCGGCCATCCCGTGCGGCAAGCATGAGTGCCGTAGTCTCCGAGACGGCCGACGCGGTCCTCGTGGATGCCCCGGCTTGTAAAAGGGCCGTGATGACTGCATCGGAAATACGCTTTTGCGGTTGTGCGAGAGCCCAGAGCAGTGTGGGGGCGCTTTCGGCTGAGCCGCTTGGTGTTGCGGGGGAGGCAATTACGGTGGGCGTGGAAACATCAGGGTTGAGCCCGTGGGCAAGGAGCACATTGATGAGAGATTCGTTCCGTGGATGGTGGTACATTGCCAATACGAGAATTGGCGTATCTGTACCATGACGGCTGTTATCCAGCTCGTCAGATGTGCAGCCATGTGCAAAGCAAGACTTGATAGAGAAGATGATGGCTTCTTCTGACATTTTAGAGCGAAGCAGTGCAGGAACAATGATGGCAAAGTTTGGCCGGTGAAGTATCAGCTTTTCGAAGGTTGCTACATCTTGCTTCTGCGCTGCGAACACGAAACATGCCCCATCTGCGACATTCACGTTGGCATTGTGCTGCAGCAACAAATCCACCAATGAGTCTATGTTCTGTCTGCTGTCGTCAGCCAGGACGGAGCGCAAAGCTGCGTCGATAGCCGGCGGCTCCACTCCACGACTAAGCAAGTCTTGCGCAATCGTAATAACGCTCTTTTCAGATTTGCTGATGCTGTCTACGGTCTGGTCAGAGAACAGCGCGCGAAACGCTTTCGTGACGCTAGATCGGGATGGTTGATGATTCCCACTGAGAAGTAATGTCGTTAGTGAACTGCTTCCCGAAGCAACAGCAATACCCAAGGCTTCGCCGTCGTTGTAACTCACAGAAGCTCCTTGTCCCAATAGCAACTTGGTAGCGGTGGTATCCTTGGTAGAAATGACATTCGTGACTTCGGAAACAAGTGCCTGGTCAAGAGCCTCCTGTGTGACGCCTATTTTCAGCAGGACCTCGAGGATAGGTGCCTTTTGGTTACAATCTTCCAGTGCGACGGTGTATTCAAACGCAGGTGTGATGAGCTTCGGACTGGCGTCTATGAGACGCCGGATAATGTCAATGTTCCTCGGGCCCCCTTTAATACTGATTCGCAGGGCCTCATGCGCTGGTGCCTCCTCGAGACCATTCACCAACAGGATCTCGATAATTTCAAGCGTGCGTGAATGCCTCGCACCATTGGAGTCGAACGACAACGGAAGAGCCAACGAAGTTGTCACAGTTCGTGGTTTCATACTACAAACCAATCGCACGAGAGCGACATCTTTCTGTGTGACTGCCAAGGAAAGTGCCTTTCCGTTTGCGAAATTGACGTCGGCACCTCGCTGGACAAATTCTGTTATCAAAACATCATCTCGTGCAGACGAATCGTCCATGACAGCGTCAACAAGAGCTTGGCTGACTTCAGGACCTTGTGCGCCGTGCTCCAGTAGCAACATTGAAACCTCGCGTCGGGCAGATGGTGTGTATCCGTGGCGTAGAAGTGGAAAGGCCGTTGCGAGGGCCTCAGGAGAAGGACGAGACTTGAGAAGCATACGCAAGCCTGGAATGTCCTGTCTCATGACTGCATGATTGAGAGGGCCCTTGGCGCTCAAGTCCATCGGAGCTCCAGCGCTGAGCAGAAGTTCCAACAGCTGGGCATCGCCATCTTCCGCTGCTCGGGTGAGCCATTGTCCAAGTGGTGGCCCTGTTGCACCTTTTTGAATTAGAGCTTGAATGACGCGGAATCTATCTCCTTGTGGAGTGTTGGTTGGTAAGACAGTGATTGCCATGGACGCGTGTGATGATGATATGTCAGTCTCTAGGATTGTCTCCACCAGAGGCCAATTGGCGTGCTCGATTGCAAGCATGAGACACTGTGCATCGTGTGCCAGAGTCGACACACCATAGCTGATCATCATCTTGGCACCCGCTGTATCATCGTGTCGTGTGGTGCTTATCAGAAGATGAGGAAGACCAATGCTGTTGGGCGGAAGTCCACAGCAGAACAAGAGCTGAAGATACTGAAGCGTGGCTGGACGTGTGGGCAAACGCATTGTGGTGTCGAGTAGTCGCTGCAATGTAGGCGGTGTTAGCGGTATTGGCCCAGAAACTAATGTCACTGTCATTTTATAGTCTTGCACTCCAATGGATGTGTTGAGTGCACTTGAGGAATCGAAGTTGGGATCGGCTCCATTCGCTATCAGCAGCGATACAATTGGGTAAGACTTTTGCTGTACAGCTGCCGGAAGGCATGAAGAGACGATCTCTGAACGAAGCGATTTCGGTGCTCTCAAAAGCAGTCGTACATGATTCTGATCCTTGGATCGGACGGCGTTGGCCAGAGCATTCGGAAAGTGGTTAAGGTCGGCTCCGTAACGTAGGAGTTCTTGTATGCAAGCTTGATCGTTGGCCGTAAGAGCAGCCTTCAACCCTTCATTCAGCGTGATTTGATCGGCTCCAGAACTGGCGAGGAGGTTGACGGAGTCTGCTCTTCGCACTGAGGCGGCTTGTTGGAGGACCGTGCTTCGTCGGCGCAGGCTAGTATTTGGCTGATTGCTCTTCCTCTTCTTCTCCGGTGTCTCGATGATGTTCACCTTGGCCCCAAGACTCAGAAAGGCCTGTACAAGACCAGGGCCCGTGGTAGGAGCGCCGATGACGGAGGACAAGGCCTGGTCGAGCTCGTCTTGCGAGAACAAGGCGGCCTCCTGGGCCTTTTCTTTTTCTTTGGAGCTTTTGAACATGCTCTTCAACACACTCTTGTGTTCAGGATTCTTGGCTCTTCGCTCAAGCAGTATGTTTCTCGCTTGCATGCGGTCCTCCTCACTGGCAGAGACGATAGGTTGGCAAGGTGCTGGCAGACATGGTTGGCGGGCTTGTTCGGGAACGACACCCGCATTTCGAATCAAGTCTTCCAGACTGGCTCTCGACTGCTGCATTGTGAGAGGGCTCTCTCTGGAGTTGACATGTCTATGTCTGTGAAGAGGAAAGGGCAGCTGATGCCTCACGCAACCAAAGTGCCTGGTGCGCGCGACGAGGTCGTGGCGGACCGGCAACGCGTGTAGCGGAAGGCAGTGCTTACCGGTACCGGTACCGTACTTGCCACGGGGATGCAGCTAGTCTGCTTCCGGCCGCGGCCCCCAACAGGCCAAAGCGACCCTCCCCCAGATTCTCCTCCCGTCTTCCTCCTCAACCCTCAGAACTACTCTACGGTCGTCGTACACTCTCTTTATTTCAGGCCGGTCACCGATGCAGGCTCGTCACTAAGCTCCTGGAGACTGCTTCATCCTCGTTTGACCGCCTGGTCGAACTGGGTCACCTGATCAACTTGACGCCGTAGAGAAAAGACCGCTCCACCACGACAGAAAAGACGGCTGCATCCGTTCACGGCTGAATAGGATGCACATGTACAATCAGGCAGCTGTTGCGATTGTTTCATCATGGCTGTACTCTAGTACACAAACTACACATGGTCCCCGCACTCCTGTTCGGCCGCATATAGGCTCTCCACGTTTCAAACGTTGCCACAGGTTCTGCAGGTACTGTTTCAAGATCGGACTCTCAGAACCCTACAGTCCGACTTTCAACATCAGTTTCCCCTTCAGCTCCCATTCTAGCCATCCAATCGTCAATTCAAGCGAAGTACTATCATCAAATCAGAACTCCTGTCGCTCGATACCTTCATGTCGCCTCCCCTTTCTTGGTGAGGAAATGAGACGCTAATGAACGTCATTAAACGTCGCCTCACTAGAAACCCCCCGGATCTCGGCGCAACGACACAAGCTTTCTCTCAGTCCTTGCCATGTCCAGGGATTCACAGCGCCCATGTCAGGCTTGACGATCCAGTACCATCACTTTATCCGACGCGCTACTTTCCCGTTTCAAGAGCACTTCTGGAGATGTTGAGAAACACCAACATGAACCCATGCATCTCGCCGAAACCATTCCCAACTCTGATGCCTGCTGGACCTACTGCTGTTGGCTCAGGACTGTATTCCGCCCAACACAACATATCTCAACATGGAAGGAACACATGCTTGCGTTTCGTCTCGCGGTGAAATGCTGCGAGGCTGCTACAACAGTAATCTATATCCATGCCGTTGTGGCACAGCAGGGTAGAGGCTAGAAATGTATTTAGAGGCCGAGATGAGTCGCCTCAACGACGAGGTAAGCACAGGTTCATCACGACCATCTTGCCATCGCTCTCGTCTCTTTTCTTTTTCAGGGCGGTTTTCCTCCATTTACTTCACTTCTTGTGGGCTCTGGCAGCTCTCCTGTTTACATAAAAACTCATTTCGTCCATTCTTTGTTATCACGTCACAAAAGTCCCTCTAGATACCCAAAAGTCTTTCATTACCGCATCTCAAATCCCGGGCATAAGCCGGCTTCCTTCCAAATTCTATACCAGTTTCGAAATCCATCAATCCACCAAATCGCCATCGTGTGCCACCAACACCCCTCAATATACCAAGAATCCAGCCTACACACTCAACGAAGAGCAACACAATCATGCACGCCTCCCTCCTCCTCACCACCATAACGCTATCCTCCCTCGTCCTCGCAGCCCCCGCTCCAATACCACCCCGTCTCCCCTTCCCCTTCCCTCACCACTTCCACAGCCGCGAAAACGACAGCACGACACCCCCATCCTGCAACCTAGCCACCCTCACCCAACCCCCCAACACTCTCACACCCCCCACCCCCTCCATGCACCTCGCCCTCATCGCCCTCGGCCAAGGCACCTTAAATTACACCTGCACAGCCGCTTTCTACACC